TTTGCAGCCGAGGGGGACATATTAGCTGTATGTTATATATTTCTGTGATGCCGTGCTTACTTCATTTCATCCACAATAATTCAGTGTGCATCACTCACTCCTGTTGTGTGTTTCACTGATCATACATACAAGATGAAAACCGGTGACTTAAACCAGAGTAGGTCAGTCTCAAATTATATGGAAAAATTTGAGTGGTTTTTTATTTGTTTGGGTAGGGTTTTTTTTTGGGGGGGGGTGGGGTGGTTGACAGCAGGTCTGCCTGACGAGCAAAGGTTCTCTTAGCTGGGGACCTTTATTTCCCTTCCCCCCCGTATAAAATATTCCTGCAGGTGTGTTTTTATTGAATGATTTATTTATGATGGAAAAGGAGTACTGATGGTGTGACTGTTCCCTGAGGGCCTCCTAGAGCAGTCAGTGGCCCACTGACTCCAGCAGGCGCTGGGTTCACCTCCCAGTGCCGCAGCACCTGAAAAGCCCCCATCTGCATTTGCAGTTGAAGTAGCTGAGGTAGACCAGAGACAAAAATGAGGGGTTCCCCGTTTGCTTTGTGCCACATGATGGAGAGATTTTGGCCAGCACACGGCAATGCAGAGGGGCAGGTATAAATTTGCTTGGATTTCTGTGCTCATGATAAGAACCTGCGTCTGTTTGGCTTGCCAGAAGAGATACCTATTCTGCCACTCAGCACAAGTTAAAGCAGTTTCCTCTTCAACGACTAGGCAAAGCAGAAGTAGCTCTGTTTGTTAATTAACTTTTTGTTTGTTGTTTGAGATCAACCAATAACTTTACCAGCAATACTGATCATGCAAATTTATCCAAGAACTTCATTTTATGTAAAAGCTGATTTCCCATCCTTATTTATATGCTACCTGTTGCCAAGGAGAACCTGTAGGCCTCCATCTTTTCTGTACATGAGAAGAGCAACTTCTCTGAGAGAGATGTCTGCTCATCAATGGTGCTAACTTCACCTCCGAAGTATTCGCTTCCAAAGGGCAGGGTGCTTTGCTGTGGTTCCCTGCGCAGTGCTGCACATCACACACTGTTATGCTAGCTGAGCGAGTTCAATACTCATCACTTCTTCAATGTCTTTAGCTAATGCTACTGCTTTTGATTCAGAAATGAACTAGATTTTTCATGCAGAACTAAGATTGGATTTAACTGGCATTACCATTATTTAAATGCAGAGTTTAATGCAGTCTAACATTGACTAAAGGACTCCAGTAATACAATGTGGTGCTTTATCTCAGAAATTTTATGGAACGGTGGCAGGAACGGATGGACAGTTTACCAGGCATTGGTGACTTCAGTGTGTTCCCAGAATATATGAGATATGTCAAAGGCAAATAATTTTGTATTTAAAATTTTTGTACTGATTTGAAAAAAATATCTTATTAAATATCTAAAAAAAACCCAACTAAATCCTAGTTTCTTTCAGCAGAACCATTAGAAGGATCATTCGATGTGCAGGAAGCCACGAAATCAGGCATCACAGAGGTGCGCTGCTATGGGTTCCTGCTCACCCAAAAACCCAGGGCTGGCAGCCCACACTGGGAGACTCACTATGACCTTGGCTCTCCCTGGGATCTGGAAACAGTTTTTCCCATTACTCCTCATTCCCATTTTTCACCTGCAGCATAAACCTAGTGTGAAAGCAGCAGCGTAGCTGTCACTGATCTACATCACCATTCAACAGTGTCTCCATTGCTGACAAAGGGTAAATTTAGATGAGATGCTAGGAAGTTGTTCTTCCCTGTAAGGGTGGCGAGACACCGGCACAGGGTGCCCAGAGAAGCTGTGGCTGCCCCATCCGTGGCAGTGTTCAAGGCCAGGCTGGACAGGGCTTGGAGCAACCAGCTCTAGTGGAAGGTGTCCCTGCCCACAGCAGGGACTTGGAACCAGATGAGCTTTAAGGTCCCTTCCAACCCGAACTGTTCTATGATTCTATAAGTAAATTATAACCCTTGGTGTGGCTCCCCCAGTCTCACCTCAGACAGGCATTTCCTCCAGGCTGGTGAACTAAACTGTCAGTACCAAAATGAAGGTATTGCATACCTACTTGTGTCAGGTAATCCTTTTCTAAACCTCCCTCAGACTCCTTGAAGCCCCTGGCTAAGCAGCTCCCGGCTCCCCAGCATCTCAGTTTTACTGTACAGAGAAAGAGAAAACAAAGCATGAGTGAAGTATCACAATCAGTGTCTCCCACTTTCTACCTAAAGTCTTTCATCACATGCCATCTTAGTTAAACATCTTTTATTTAACATTCCCCTGAAAGTCCCCAGTAAGACTGGCAAGATTAAAAAAACATGGAACATTGAAATCAGGAGGATGCTGCTCTTGATCTTACCCACAAAAGCTATGTCCCAGCCTTGCTCAGCCTGGAGCGAGCTCTCCACCCGCAGCACAGCTCAGTTCAAACCAACCTCAGTTCAAACACCTTCAGCTCTGTTTGCTCTACTAAGCACCAAAGCTTGTTCTGAAACTCAACCCCGGATCTGACAACACTGTGTATACTTTACACACCATTAATAATGGGGCTGGGCATGCCTGCGCATCCGCACACACAGAGTGGCTGACCTTGCAAAAATAAGCCTGAGGGCATTGTCTTTAACACAGTTTATTCACAGGAAAATAATCTTTTTCCATTTGTAGCATTCAGAATTTCATTCAAAATGACTGTAAGAATGTCTTCAAAATACAGCTGGCACTTTAAAGGCATATAAAACTTAAGACAAATGGCAAATAAAATAAGTGTTTACCGATACCAGAAACAGATGTTGCGTTTCCCATGTTCTTAAAAATCAGACTCCATTTAAAAGTTATTCATACCACCTCCCAGGGCATTGTTAAAAAGGAAAATATAGTATAGGAAACGAGGTACCGCACACTAATAATAGACACCGAAGTTCTGTATTATTATCACGAATACAGTCACTGGAAATGTCCTTTATCATGTCTTTTAGGCACTCAGGTTCGTATTTAGTGCAATAGTCTGTGACCTTCCTTCTTAAGTCAGCTCTTAGTACTTCCCTTAATTACTACAGCAGAAGAAAAAGTACTTTCCTGACAGAAAACAAACAAAAACCCCCCGTAAAAGTCCGAGCCAAAGCGAGCTTTCAGCTGACACCTGCCATCCTGCTTGTCCTGAGCATACCCCACTGCCTTAGAGCTGGGTCTTTATATGGTGCAGTGTTTTGAGCAGGGTGGCAGATAAAATGCAGGAGCACCTCTGCTGTAAGGTGCTGCTGTCTCAGAACTCAGCAGGCTGCCGGAGAACAGGACAGAGGAAGACCTGACTTTGCAACTGATACAGGAGGAAGATGGATGTGAGATACTTGGTACCTATACAGTTACACTGTTACCCCACATGGAAATAAAGCTGGCAGCACCCTGGGATTCAAAATTGGCAGCTTTGCAGACGATGTAATGAAAAAAATGGGGAGTTGTTAAAAGGATGTTTCAGTGCAGAGATTTCACCTACAGGAATGACAAAACTAGAAAAATAGAATCTTAATACCAGCTCACTCTCAGAAAAGATCTAAGTGCTTGGAGTTAGTATTACTGCTTTTCCCAGAAGTCCCAAGGCAAGTCTTTGGTACTGCAAAATGCCTGTGGAAACATGTGCCCAGATAGACCAGGCACCATCGTCTGTGAAACACACCCAGGTATTCCTGCCTGCGTGAAGGTGGTAGAAAAGCCACTCCCGTCCTCAAGGCAGTGTAGCAGAAATGACCATGTGAAGCAGGTGATGAAGCAGGGCTGGAGTACACAGAATCCTACCAAAACTTCTTACAGGAGGGAAAATTAATCACTTCGGTTGCTGCTTGGTATTGAAGAAAGACCTACTGGTCTGCAAGCTGCGCTTTCCAAAGTACCCTGTGGTTTAGCAACAGTACCAGCTCTTGTCTCGGTCCCAAGCGAACAGGTTGGCCCTAAATGTTCCCCAGCCACCCTGGGACAGTAACCTTGGCATTCACGGAATGGACATCCCTGCAGGAGCACAGGAGTAGGGGGAAAATATCCCTGTGAGTACTGCTTGATTTCCAAAATAAGTCAGTCATACAATCGGGGGGGCTTATTAAGAAGAAATACAATAAAAAGGGGCAGCTGTTTGGGATAAATGTTTGTGGACAGCATGTTAAATGTGCTGACAGTACAAAAACATTATTAAAAAAACCCCAAACAAACATAAACCACCAAAAAAAAACCCAAAAAAACCCAACAAAACCCAAACCCAAAATTATTAGGGAGACCAAAAAAGCTGATGTAGAAAAAGAGCAAAGGAGCCTAAGTAAAAAGAGTCTGGGGGACACCATTTGTTTGCCATGAAGCCTTTTTTCCAATTACTTTGTTTGGAGTCTAATTATAGCAGAACAAACCCCACTCCCCCAAAAAAGGCAGACAACCCCCTACGAAAATTAGGAGAAGGAATCAGTTCAGATTAGTGGGAAGAATCTCTCTGGAGAAGCAATATAGCAAATACACACATCCTCAAAAGCAGAGCTCCCTACCTACCTCCTGCCACTGAGGACAAGGGTGCAGAAGCAGAGGGGAAACATCCAGCACCATCACAAGAACGAGGGACTGTGGGGAGAGGGCAAATTCCACAGCTCTCCTGAACCAAATCCTCATGGTCAGCGTACTGCAAGACATGGATGTGGCTGGATTCATGGCTGCAGCCCCCCCCAGAGCTGGGGCGGGGGGATGCAGGGGCAGCTCTGGGAGTGACCACAGATCTTGAGGGGCAAGAGGCAGCCCTCCACTTCTGCCTGGCTCTGCTCTCAACAGCCCGACATCTGCCAAGGTCTTCCACACAGAGAGAGCTCAGACACCACCACGGCTCCTGTGAAAAGCCTTACCTTGGCATTTTTTCCCCCGTGGAATTACTATTGTCAGTAGTCTAAATCACTGCAGGTCTGGGACTGCAGTGACGTACAAACCTTTTTAATTAACTGAAATTACCATGAGAAATAACTGTTAGTCAAGGCAAAGACAGTGTCACTTTTTGTGGATGCAAAACCCCACCTGTTTGCATTCAGGTATTTTAAGCAACTATCTCCTCAAACCCCCAGAACTATGTGTGTTTAAAAAAACAACTAAGAGCCCTTCTGTCACCTGGGGAAGAAATTCTGGTTTCCCCCATTTCCAGCACCACAGACCCAGGACCTCGCGCGTTCCACTCTCCTCCATGCCCTTGTCCTGGGCAAGGCTGGACAAGGGGCCACCCCCTGCAGCATCACCTGCAGCAGCTGGGCCCAAATAACACCATAGCAGAGCCTGACCCTTGCTGGGCACATGTCTGGGTCCTTCTCCACCCCCTGACACAGATTCTTATGACGTTCAAAGTTATTTCAGATACGTCCCGTTTGCATGAAAGGGACCAAAGCTCAGGAGTCATTAGGTGAATGCACAAGCCGCCTCCTCTTTTGGCTGTGGCTACCCCCTAAATCACACTACCCTCACTGATTCCAAACAGCAGAGCCAAGGAGCTGAAGCTGGATGTGACAGCTACAGGAAGGTTGGGGTTTAAAATGCCTATTGCACTCTGCAAGAGAAACAGGAAAAAAGAAAGACGACTCTTTGGTCACTTCAGTGCTTACTCCTTTAGGTTGCTGCAGCAAAGAAATTGCATTTGGTACTCTCGTAACCCTCAGCTTCTAGGAAAAAAAATAGTGTGCTCTTGACCCGCTAGAGGTTTGTATTCATCTCTTGTTTGGACTGTTCCTAACTGTACTAAAATTCTCTACATAATTTTATTAAAAAACAGCAAAGTTTCTTCTAGCAACTTTAAAGATGCCTTTTGTCTCTTTGAAGTGGACTTCAGTGTACTTTCTTTAGGTGCGACTGATCAAGCTAACCACAAGATCTGCAAATCTGCCACAATTTAAAAAAAAATAACACACCCTATGACAAATTGGAAGAGCACACAACTGCTTCTGCTTTGACAGCTGCCAAGGGCATTTCCAGGCAGATTTAACTTACCCAGCTGGCTTGTCCAAGGCAAGCCAATACAGAAAACATAAACGTCCCATTGCATGTTTCAATTAAAACCCACTAAATGATTTAGTTCAGCCACATCCTTTAAACCTAAATGTCAAGACAGGAGAAGTAAACAGAAGCCAAGTGATAATTCAGCTGAGGTGCATCTTGGTATTCCTAAGCACACTGTACTCCAAAAATGGAAACATTCATTGCTCAAATTGATGCATTTCAAAGGTGGAAGCACATTACAGCATCCGAGAAAGGAGATTGTGCTGGTCTGGAAAAATACACCTTGATTCTTGGGGAGCAAACAGGAAGATACAAGAGATGCTGTCCTAGAGATCTAGGAATCCAACAAGCATTGGCTCTGAATTTAAACTCGGGCACGAACATCTCTGTCCCAGCTCACATTTCCATTGTGGTCTGGAGGAGGCTGTTAGGACAATTCTTCAGTCTTCATAATCCCTCTTTTCCAAGTCACAGACTGCAAAATATATTGGATGTGCAGGACGGGGAGTATGATTTTCCATAAACTGGGTACACCACAAACACCATCAATACCAACACCTCCACGAATCGGGCCAAAGGGTCTCCACCTTTGGCAAAGGCAGACCGCCGTTCAGAGCTGGTGGCCAGTGCAGAAGCTGTGGCTGCTTTGCCGAAGATGGACATCTCCTCCTCAGGAGCAGGGCAGACCAAAACCTGCACACTCTGTGCGCTCCCCCTTCTCCCAGACACGCAGTAAGGATTAATAGGCAACCCTTTAAAGCCATTTTCATGCTACAGGAGAGACATTCAAGACTTTACATCCATCTACTAATTAAACACTAGTTGTCTCAGTCTTTTGACAGTGTAACTCTTTTAGAGGACAACATCAGAAACAAAAGTATTCCAGAAAAGTAATTGTTTTGAAAGAGTTCTTGTTGATAAATAAGTGATATGCATCACGTTTTTATATATCCCTGATACTTTCAGCTGAAAGTTTCATGGTTTTCCCATTATTAAATAGCTTCACAGAAATTCAGTTAACTGTTTGCAATAGTCTTTTACCCTCAGGCTTAGAAGCAGCTTCTGCCTTAGTGAGGTTTCTGTGTTTCTTTTAAACAGTAAACAGTTATGCTGCACTTAAAAAATAAAAATGTCATACAAAAAATATATTTTTTTTTTTTCAAATCTTGAAAATAGTGATTGTTCTTCATATGTTCCATTCAGCTCTCACGTCAAATTGACCACAAAGTTCTTGTCTATAAGCTTCTTCAAAAATTTCTGCTCAGCATTGATGTTGTGGTATTCATTCTAAAGAGAGAAGAGGAAATAATAAAAAGCAGTTAAATTCAAATTATTACCAGAAGCATCGCTCTGTTGTTCCTTCCTTTTAATTACCTGTGGTACTTGGAAGATACTAAGAGTAGGAAAGCTCTGGGGAAAAGACTTCTTAGCAAAGGCTGTAGGACAGTCTACCAAGAAAACAGGCGAGTGACTTTGGCTCAAAACTAGGTTAGATTTTCCATTAGGACACAAACCAAAAGGGAAGACCCTTCAGTGGCAAGAATGGGTGAGACATGGTCTCAGAGAAGACTTTCCATTGCTACCTCTCCCAACTCCTCCCCATGCTGAGAGGGAACAGCTGTACAACCACATTTACCACACAAGAGGTCAAAAAAGTGACTCATTCTCAAAGGTCAACACAGGTTCTTGAAAAGCACACATCAGGCATCTGGAAATCAGATGCATCCTGCCAGTCAGTTTCAACAAGCCAAAACCAACCCATCTTGTGTGCTGGATCCAGATCCTGGATACACAATGACCACTGAGGCTGGGGAAGGACAGCACAAGGGAAGTCAGTTTATGGACAATCTTAAAACACTGAATCCACTAAATTAAAATGAATACAAATACTGCATAAAAGATTGTACGTATATCATATTTACAACTCAATACCACTAAAGAATTAATGATAAGGTTTTTGTTTAGTTGCTTATTTTTTAAAGTTTCAAGATTTGAGGAAACTTACGGGTGCCTATTCAACTAATGATCAACCTTAGCCAAGCTTGGTGCATATTGCAAAAAAGCACCTCGAAAGGAAGGCAAGTTCAGTGTCAGAGGAAAATCATCTCAGAGCAGCAGCCCAGAGAGAGACATGAGAGGCTCCTATCGGCACTGTCCCTGTCCTTCCTCTCCAGGAAAGGGAGGAGGAGAGAAAATGGTCAGTCCCTATATGCACTGGGCATGCACATGGATGAGAAAACTGTTGACACTGAGGTAGAGGGCCGAGATGGAGTTGCTCAGAATACAGAGCTGAAGACAAAAGCAGAGACATAAAAGAAAACAAATGCATAAAAGAAGTTTGACAAATTGTGCAAGTAGGTGCCAAGGAAAAAGACAATGCAAACAGAAACAACACTATTCGTGTTCTGACAGCACTAGCAAATACACCTCTATGAACAAGAGCCGTGTAGCCTAAGGATAACACCATCAAAGCAAAACAGAACATACAAATGGTTGTACCTCATGCAGACATTGCAGAATATGGTGGAGCACAAGGGACACAAATACCGTTATCCACATTTTTCAGAAACAAAAGCAGAGATAAAGAGATTCAAGCGATAACCCATGAGCAGCTGAACTAGGAGAAAACAGGAGGCCTTTCTGACCTGGAGTCCACACTTCTATCTACACTGAATTGTCTTCCCCAGTTACCAGCTATATTTCTCTTAGCATAAACAAGCGTTTGTTACCTGCATCATCTGAGACATTGTGTCATTGCCGTAGTAGTGCAAAGAACTGTTTCTGTCAGTGAAATCGTACTTGAAGCCTGCCAGGTGAACTTCATTGCATATGTGAAATGCTAGCGTAATGGCAATTAGCCCGGTTGTTGGATGCTTGGGTTTCTAAAAGGAAACACAGAGAGCACACATACATAAACAACCAGCAGTTTGATGGGAACAGCAAGAATAAAGCCAGTGGAAATCATAATTTTGCACTTAAACCCTGTTTCTGACTTGGTCTTATATTTTACACTGCATTTCTTGCAAGAGTATAGAGCAACTCATTGCAATCATCTGTCCTGTCCTGTGATCAAGTACATCATGACTGCTTTAGCAGCAGCAGTAGCTAAAATGATCTGGGTTAGTAAACAAGGCAGGGTTTGTAGAGGTGAACTCTTCCACTAGACCAACATGCTAAGGGGATTGTTGGTCTAATGAAAGCTGAGGGGGAAAAAGCATCCCCAGAAACGGACAAAACTTTAGCAAAGGACATCAGTGCTTGAAAGTAACAATTTTATCAGGGACCAAATGATCTGCACACTCTCGGTTATCTGCAATCAAATCTCAAACTGAGTGCTCTTCTGAACTGCTACCCAAGGCTCAGTTAATTTGCCTCTGAAAACAAAGCAGACAAACCAGCACAGGACAGCTCTGTGCAGACAGAAGGCAGATGCACTTGCTGATACAGAAAAATATTTTTTATGTATCATATGATGAAAGAACCCCAGGAAAAAGTTACTAACGTCGGCTCTGTAAGCCTATTTAAAGTCACAGAACTGAACTATCACCTTTTATGTAGATTTTTTTGGTACCATTATACAACTCTTGGAGTGCTCCAGAAATAACATCAACTTAAAATGCACACTATTGTCCAGGGCTCCTGCCAGTAATAAAAATAACTTTCTGCCCTCGGGGCCCAATACCATCAATTTAGTGGTGACTCTATTGCAATGTCCATACTAAACAGGACCAAAAACGATGGCAGGAATTGTACAAGTAAGGAATGGAATGCTACATGTCAGGATTACTGCCATTTGGAAATAACAGCAATTCCACAAGTTGCAACTAGCTCTGTTTATCTTTGTCTATCATAAAGTTCACCTCAACAGAATATACAAAATAAGCAACACTTTTAAAATGTATTATCATGCCCGTGCCCTAGCAACATCCAGATATCCTTGGCTTGTAATGAAACTTGTTCATATTTAATGGGGATAAGCACAGCCCTGGAATGACTCTGCAACACTTTCTGACTTCAGTGCTGCTGGGGCAGCACACCTGATTTTACAGGTGTTCTCCCAGGTCTGCTAACACCACCACAGTTGCTAACAAAGAAACAGAAATGCTTGCTGGACTACGCCACTAAGTGCCACTCGGGGAACATGAGGTTGGCTTAATAGAAAAAGCAGACAGCAACACTGGTCTTCCACATCTCCTGCAGGCAGAGGGGGCTGAAGTGCAGGAAGCTCTCCCCAGGGACAAGCTACTGGACAGAGGGCTCCAAAATGGGTCCTGCAAAAGTCCACCCTGGCAACAGGAACTGCTGAGGCATGACCTGCAGCTTAACTGACCTTCTGCAGATGTGCAGGCTCCCGCCATAGCCAGCCTCTGAGATGGGAAGAAAAGCACATCTAACCTTGACCATTCGCTGCCACTGGGGCCAAGGGGCTACCAAACCCCTGGGATGGAGCAAGTGGGATGTGGAGGTGGCAGAAGGGGGCTCCAAGCACAGATGTGCTCTACCCAGCTCTTGGCAGGTGCGCCCAGCGAGCTGGAGAAGAGCAGAGGGCACACATGCTACGCAGGTGACTGAGGGGCCCCTGCCTCCCTACCAGCTCCAGGACACTGCAAACATCTCCCTGGCTCACCGACAGCACCGCCTCACTTTTACTCCCACTGAGAGAGGAGCGCAGGAAGAGACAGAAGGAATTTCTGGAGCCATAGAGGCCATGGATATTCTGTGACCCTTTAGGAGACAGCCAGGCACTCAACTACTATGCTGCTTTCTTCCCACCTCTTCTTGGCTGAAGAGCTGAAATGCCATGGATCCCCAGCAAGCACGCAGCCCAACTGGGTATTCCAGTTTCCAGAGTTAACAAGGGAGGGAAAAAGCCACCGGTAGGCTCAAAAAAATAAATATAAGAAGGAGAAAAGAAGTAAAAAAAGGCACAAAAATTCCCCAAGCAAAAAACAAAACCAAAACACCAAACCACCCCTCAACTCCCTCAAACATTAGAAAGATTAAACCAGAAAAAGTTGTGGCAGATACTATGCAGTGACGGCCTGTCAAATGTTTCTGCACAGGTCAGTTGGCTGATCCTGATGAGGCAGCTCTGCACAATGATGTGACCCCAGGGAGCTGTATTTGTGCTACACGGCACGTGGTCAGTCCTGCCTGCACAAGGGAGGTCTGCAGCTTGAAGCCTTACCTTTCAGCAGAAACATTCCTCAGCCATAAACTGACAGTTAAAATGTATTTTTGTGTCCAAATTGCCAGTTAACTCATTACAATGCTTGGCATCCAATCAGTAAGCACAAGAATGCTGCTAGACACGTCATTAGTGCAGGACTGGAATATCCTGTATGGTCCCCAGTCTCTACCTGCCCCCAGCAGTAGGAAGTTGCAGCAGTTTCAGAATTACTGGGGGTTAGGGGGGTGTTTGTTTGTGTAGGGTTTTTATGGTGTTTTGGTTTTGTTGGGATTTTGGGGGAATTTTTTTGTTTGTTTGTTGTTTTGTGAGGTTTGGGCTGTGGTTTGGTTTTTTTGGTGCCATTTTTGTGGGGTTTTTTTTGTTTTTAAGAAAAAATACAAAACACCTTACATTTAGTATTTCAAGACTCCTTAATATTTCTAGAAGCTCTTTGGATTTGCCAGGTTCCAATACCTGTCTGGTTTTCCCAGTTTTGTAAAAGGCATTATGTCTGTCTGCAAAAGCAGTCTCATTTAATACTAATTATAGAATGGGTGTACAAGGCTACCCACTTTCTTTCTAGATTCCATTTTCCCATCTTTTTGAAGCACCATTCTAAATGCAAACTACTGCAACGTGAACCTAAAAGATGTTCTAACAGAGTCCACTATAATAAAGAGATAATTACCTCTGAGTATACATTTGGTTGCACAAAACTGAAAGGCACAGAAGAAAAAAGCTTACCTCCTTCTTGGGAAACCTTGTTGGGAAACGAAGCCATTCATAAGCAGTTTTTCTGGTGATGCTGGGATCAAGAATCCTGATTTGACTAGATTTGTATATCATGTTCAGAGCCGGCTTCTTCCAAAAGCCTTTAGCACTCTGTAACAGACAAGCAAATATCCATTTTTAGCAGCTATAAACAGTTGATTTGATTTTGGTTTTTTAGCAACTCTAACCAGAATAAAATCCAAGGGCAGGAGGTTGAGGAAGAAGAGTGTTGAACCTCCCAAACTTCAGCAAAGACATGTGCAGATTGTACTCCTGCAGTAAGATAACCCACTGCAGCAGCAGAGGTTGGGGCCAGCTGCCTAGAAAACAGCTTTGTAGAAAGGTCCCTGCTGGACCAGCTGCATGCCCTGGAGGCAGTAAATGCTCATCGTGTGCTTGGCCACATTAGTAAGGGCATAAGGAACAGGTAGAAGTTATCATTTTTAAGTGCTTTGCGCTGTGCCTTTCTGTGATCTCACAAATGCTGTTTGGAGTTCCCCCCTGTGCAAGTGTCAAACTTGGGCCAGCTCAGCAGAAGGCCACTAAAATGGTCAAGGGGCTGGAGAGCACAGCAAACAAGGGTCTGAGGAGACTGGGTTTGTTCAGCCCATCTTCAACTATCTGGTCAGGGTTTGCAAAAAGAGACAGTATCGGACTCTTTCCAGAGGCACACACTGAAAAGATAAGGAGAAATTCTTTCCTGTGAGGGTGCTGCAGCACTGAAACAGAGGTAGTAGAAATATCCTTGGAAATACTCAAAACTTGCCTGGACCATGCCCTGAGAACATGGTATGGCTTTGAACTTGGCCCTCCTTTCTTTCAACAAGGTTTTGAACCAAGGACCTCCAAAAAGTGGTCCCTTCCAACATTATTCTGCAATTCCACTAAGTGTGCAGGGTAAAATAATCTGGGAAATGGCTGGAACATGTACACCAGAATACAAAACAGTGCTAGGAAGAGGATAAAAAGGCATCTCAAAGAAGAAAACTGCTGTGGGCTGAGGAACTGATTAAATGTTTGTTCAACTATATTGTTCTGATCAAGTATATAGATCAAATATATTGTTCAGGGTCAGGTTGGATGGGGCTTGGAGCAACCTGGTCTAGTGGAAGGTGTCCCTGCCTGTGACAGGGAGGTTGGAACTGGATGATCTTTAAGGTCCCTTCCAACCCAAACCATGCTATGATCCTGTGATTGAAATATAGGTGTGAGTAAGAGGCCACAAGCATTTTTGGGAGAGGGATACTGAGTAGACTGACTAGGAGATCCAGTGCTCTCCCCAGCTAGGAGGACTAAGGTTAAAAGCAAAACAAGTATTTTAAATGAGGCGTGTGGCAAGCTGAAGCAAAGTGCATGAATAATGAAACTCACTACTTTCTGACCACCCAGTATCTCCCAGAGCCACTTCAAGTCACGTGGTTTGAAGACAATAAGAACAACAGTCGTATTAGGGTCATAGTGGATCGGATCTGAGAAGATGGATTCCGGGTAAGAAAGGCGAAAGGTCGTCCTCCTCCCAACATCATCTTCATACCCTATAACAGGGCCGTTATTCATTCTGCAAAGGACAGACACAGAGATGGCAATGACCACCCTACCCACAACCTTAGTGTGCAGTGGCTGGCGCACACATTAGTCTGTGGGAGAGACAGCACGTCCAGGTACAGAAGGGTTTAGTGGCCCATCATTTTCTTACTACATTACGTGGTAGATGAGCAATTATCAGGTGCGCTCACCCTCTAACTCTGAGGGACCAAGCACATACGGGAACTTGGCCAACACGGTTTAGAATACAATCACACAATTGCTTATCGCATGTCACTTGAGCAGACAGCCTTCTGATTTGGCTCAAACACAGAAACTAGAGAAGACCAAAGAGAATATCTGGCTTGGAGAATTACTAATTGCTCCGTTCATGCTGCTAGATGATCCGAGTCATACAGGAGGCAATTGAAGAATGCTTTAATATTCTTCACTGTCTACAGCATACAATAACAGGGATTATGACTGCGTACCTGATGCTGATACATCTTTATGTTTGCCTTTTTTGTTTGCTGGGGGCTTTGGGGTGTTGGGTTTTCTGTTGTTTTTTTTTCTTTTTTAAATATTATTTGCACAGCTGCCACTGCTTTGGGATATAAGAGATAATAAGCAGTGAGCAGGTGGGTCAGGCGCCTCTGCGCTGAGGTGTTAGAGGGGGGCTGTATTTAAGCCTCCACCTTGCAGTTTTTGCTTGGTGGGTGTGTTGCTTATTCTTTGGAGAATTCAAGCAGTGTCTGTATGCTCCATTCCTGCCAATGTGACCGACTGCTCAGCATCAGAGGCATGCTGCTTAGAAACAAATGTTTGCAAAACAGGGTATGCAGACAAGGGAGTATTTCAAAGTTTTATCAGAAATCATCATTAAATACAGAATGCAAACATGACCTCTTTGTTCCTTCACAGTAAGCAAATGTGTGCTGTATTTCTGAAACTGTTTTGAATTTAGAGCCATTTTCAAATATGTAGCAGCAGTCTACACATTTAAGAAGAGTAGACAGATCGCTGAGGAGCCCAAATACTTGTAATAACTTTAAAATAATCTCTGGAGCTTCCTTGCATCATCATACTACAAAAAAAAAAAAAAAATAATTGCAAGGCAGGATTTATTTGTAAAGCACAAAGTTGGCAGGCAAGTGAAGCTTCCCAAGAATAGGGACGTTATCTGAAGGTTAAACTTTGTAAGAGGAGCTACAACCAAAGAATTGCATGTATTCATTTCCACCTTTTCAGTGTGTTTTCAAACGCATGTCAAACCCCAGGCTTTGTACATAGCTTTTTATGGTAATGCTCAGAGTGAAACACTACTACTAAAATAAGCATTAGGATTGATGGCAAAGCAACCAAAAGAACACAACGTTGAAGCACAAACTGAAATGGCAGCTCAGATTTTAGTGAAAGAAGGCTTAGGTACACTACCTGACCACTTACAGGCAGAAGGGCTGTTTAAGCAGTTACCATCTCAGTTCTTGGAAAGGAGAAACTGATTTATCTTTTTTTTTTTAATGTGCAGAAAATTGTTATAATTAGCCAAATAGTGCATTTTCAGTTTGCTTGGCATTTGAGGTTTTTTCCTCCCCTCTCCTTGCCTGTTCCTCTATAAGCAGTCCCCCAGTTTCCCTAGCCCAGCCTGGTCTTCTTTAAAACACAGCATCCTCTGGTCTCTCAAAGCATCTTATAAACTTCCAATGTGAACTAACACGCTTGAGAAAAAGGGGCAGACATCAACATCATCCTCCAGTTGACACGTGCCTAAACATGTACTTCCAAGCATAAACGTTTAATTCACTCCAAGCAATGCCCAAGTCAGCAAGGGGTAAGACAGGTGTGATATGGAAGGTCAGAGGCAGCGCTGCCTGGGATGTTGCTCACAGCAAGGGGCACATGCAGGACTCTGGGTTGTCACATGCTTGGACCTATCCCTGATGGCAGCATCTTTCGCATGTGTATCTGTACACGAGTCAGACCTACCACCCAACGATCTTTCCTCCCCTGTATCAGTCAGCCTGTGATCCGATCCATTTTTTCCTAAACTTTTTTAAATGAAGGCTGTGACAGGACAAATAAACCAAGAAGTTTTATACATTTTATACATTTTTACTTGTATAATAACTGAACTCCAAAGCATAAGTTTGTTAATTCTTTGCATGTACACAAAATGAAAAGGAGATACTATTTACCTTATAATCACGTCATACGAGTCAATTTTCTCCCCTAATGTCTTATTTCGAAGTACTCCTCCATTACCAACCACAACACACCGGCGACAGGCAATGCTGTGGAACAAACAGAGCTTTTAATATGCACAACTTCCCTTGCTTCATGTCGGTTTTAATGAGATATTTGCATTTAGCTGGCTTATTTACTAGCTGAGGTCCTGTGTCTTTTACACTCCTTGGCCTTTACAGAGTTCTCTCAATCCTGTATCACACACTAAAGCTGCTTTAAAAATAATTAAAAAAAAAAAAAATAAAAAATGCAGCTGCATTATTCCAGGAACTGCCAAACTCAGTAATTGGCTTCTCTGAAGCAAAACCCAGTTTTATACATGTCCTTTTTCTAGTGGTTTGCTGTTTAAGATCATCTAACCCAGCTGGAGATACAGGTGCCATTAGATAAATTATCTTCCACAGTGCTTCAAAACTTGTCCCAGTCTGGGGGTATACCAACCAGGATACAGTATGTCTGACAAAACTAACTCAAAGTAAGGTGCTTCTGCAATGCTGACAACTCCACAAGTGTAGGGATCTCTAACATAACCTAAATGTCCACCATTTACCTCACAAGCCTCTGAATTGTACATGTGGAAAACTTTAGCCCAATGACACATGATGGCCCTTCAAATGTTGATTTTTCTCCCTCTACTTGGCAAGTGCTGCCTAAGCATGTACTAAGTGCATGCTGCCATGACATTAGAGGGATATACTTAAAAGTTGCCTTCTCATATGACTAGATACAACTTAGACACCATTACTAAGTATATAAACCACTGTGAGCTACAAGTTAAATCTTGTACCACATGCAACCAGAACAGTGATTCCTTTTGAATTTAGAATGTATTCAGAGCTCAAAAGCACCCCGAAAAGGTATTACGAAGATCCTAAACTTACGAAAATAGATTTCTAAAGGTAAGATTTCCTAAGTTCTCCCTCATTTTCTAAGTGCATCTTCCACTCCCTACTGTCATATTTCAATGCTAGTAAAATGTGGCTTACTTAAAATAAAAAGAGAGCGTACAGACAGGCTTGCTGGTTTTTTTACTCAAGGAATTTTGCCTCTTTAGGGAAAGTTTACATCAAATGTATTAGATTGCAAACTCCTCCTTACAGAACAAGGACACCATTTTTTGTTGTAAAAATGCTTCTTTATTTAGAGCAAAAGCTGTTCAACTTGGTGGCAGCAGGAACCATAGCAAAATAAAAATTTTGGTATTTTCTTCAGACACAAATAGGCTCACAGCTTACTGGGGATGAGCCACCTCCCAACATCCCACTCCCACAGTTCTTCAAGTAAGAAAAAGGCTATGCCATTTCTTACCATAGGGCACCCCAGGACTGTCCCCCAAAGAATAATATAATCTGTATTAAATGCCCAGTGTGCCACTTTATGCAGACTAATTAATATGTTCCTCCTCAGACAGTCCAACTTGTTTTTTCAGCTGAGAGTATTATTCAACATCAGTGAAAATAGCTTGTTCCAGCCAGGACTGACCAACACCTTAATATACAAAGCAGTTGTCCTACAGAGCTGTTAACGCAGTTATGCTCTGCTGCTTGTGGGCTAGGGGAAAACTGAGCCTCAAAGTAATGCTGAAAAGCTGAAGCTTACAGGAAAGTTGAAATACAGATAAATGCCAACTGTAAAAAACACTGCATCTCCAAAGAAATGCCGGATGGTACTTTCTCACCTGCTGCTCTGGAGCCACATCTGCAGAGGAAGTTGCCTCTAAAAATTTATACATACATATATATAAAAATCATGTTGCTAAACACAGCTTTTAGGGTGGGGTGACATGGAAAAACCTGGTGCACCTTTCTCTAGTGTTTCCTGAGCAGCTTAGTAGAAGCCAAGCATTCATAAAAAGATTTCTAGCTAATGCCACAAGTCCATGTGACTCAGTACCTCAAAAATCAGAGGGGTGAAAACCTGTTACACCAATGCTCAGGTGCTGGAAAGGGACTCTTCATCAGGGACTGTAGCAATAGGACAAGGGGTAACGAGTTTAAACTTAAAACAGGGGAAGTTCAGGTTAGATATAAGGAAGAAGTCCTCTACTGTGAGGGGGTTCAGGCACCGGACCTGTGGACCCATGGAGAGAAGAGCCCGTGCCAGAGCAGCTTTGCTGCAGGACTGGTGACCCCGCAGGGACCCACACTGGATCAGTCTGTTCCTGAAGGGCTCCACCCATGGAAGGGACCCACACTGGAGCAGTTCATGAAGAACTGCAGCCCATGGGAAAGACTCACATTGGAGAAGTTCATGGAGAGCTGTCTCCTGTGGGAGGGACCCTGCACTGGAGCAGGGGAAGAGTGTGAGGAGTCCTCCTCTGAGGAGGAAGGAGTAGCAGAGACAATCTGTGATGAACAGACAGCAGCCCCCACTCCCTGTTCCCCTGTGCTGCTGGGGTTCAGGAAGTAGAGAATTCATGAGTTAAGCCCAGGAAGAAGGGATGAGTGTAAGGTGTTTTAAGATTTTGTTTTACTTCTCATTATCCTACTCTGATTTAATTGGTAAAAAATGAAATAGTTTTTTTTCCCCAAGAGTCTGTTTTGCCCATGATGCTGATTGGCAAGTGATCTCCCCCTGTCTTTATCTTGTGATAGAGCGGCTTTGGTGAGCACTTAGCACCCAGCCAAGGTCAACCCACCCCAGTCGACTAATACTACTTAGATGGAAAATAGAGTTTGATTCAAAATTTGAAGTTTAAGCTTTCAAACTCCACTGCCCTTAATAACACACACTGAAAAGTTATTGGCTGCCTTCAAATAACCCATAAAGCATCTAACATTAGTATGTGAACTTTTTAAGTGGATAAAATTAACAGCCAGATCGAGTACTCCTGATGAATTGTACATGAATACACTCATAAATACAGTCAAACAAATTAGAAAGACCAGCTTTTAATCTCTGTCAAGCTCAGGAAGTCCAAGCAGGCCAACTCAAACAGGAAGTCTGGCACGAACATGCTGTTGCTGAATTGTGTTCTCCCCTTTCCCCCTTTCTATATTCAAGTGTACTCAGTTACAATCATAAGTCTATGTCCACAGTAAAACATTCCGCTGACAATGATAAGCAGGGAGGGGAATGGTTTATGCCAGCATAAAAATACTGAATATAATATCACAGAAAACTGACGTATTAAACTGAGATAAAGAATATGTAGCCAGGCTGGGCTGTATTCAAATATACTTAAAAGTTAAATAAACTGATCTGTACTTACTGTAGATCACGGAAATCAACACACTGATTTTCAGCGGACTGTTACTCCCAGATATTTTATCAACCCCATTTAAAGTTTCCTTTTTCTTTTTCTTTTTTTAATTAAAAAAACTCCACTCATCCTTTCTCCAAGTCTATAAATTGGCAAGAAGAGAAATAAATTCAGATGTCCTTAAACACCATCAGGTGTGCTACAAGTGAAATGTAACAGACTGAAATGTCTGGAGGTCTAGCTTACCACAATATTGATCAAAGTGAAAAATACTAAAACCTCAGCTGTAACAGTTGCTAAGAGATTGCATTTAGATGTTCAATATCTACTTATGAGTATAAATGGATCCTGATGCAAATCACATAACTCATCTCCAACATCTGAATGCAATCCCTTTAGTCACTCAAGCTATTGAACTATTGCCCTATTCACACCGTGTACAAGAGCCTCTTAATCTCAAGGCCAGGCATTACTTTGCGTATATTGTTTATACGGTGAAATGATAAAAAAAAACATCTTCCTAGTCTATTAAAAAAACCCTGTTAAATGGAAATGTAGCTTTTAAAGGTCAGAAGGTTTGCATCTTCCACATTCCACTGAAATACTGTTTCTCTCAAAAAGGAAAAAGATGATCTCAACCTCAGCTCCTTTAGCACACACCCCCCATAGTCAGTTGGGGAATGCAAATTATTTCCTTTGAGGTTATTTGGTAAAAGGAGGATGCAGAGGTCACATTTTCTTGACTCAGAACTGTGCAAATGCATTTTTAAGAATTCACTGCTGTTGAACAGAGAGTCCCAAGAGTGCCCAGCAAGTAATTCTGAGGAAATGGGTAGAGCAGGTGTTCAGAGGTTACTTTGCGCATATACCCTTAGCCTGGAAACCCTTCTCCTACAGGCTATTCCACTGAAGTCAGTGGCACTGTTCACTTCCAAACATTGGAGAACTAGATCTTTACACAGTGAGAACACTTAAGGTTAGAGCCTTCTCTTCTCCAAGCTGAACAAGCCCAACTCTGTCTTCATAGGAGAGGCGCTCCAGACCACTGATCATCTTCAGGGCCCTCCTCTGGATGTGTTCTAACAGGTCCACATCCTTCTTATGGTGGGTTTTTTTCCCCTTCCCCCACCTGCAAGAGTAAACCTGAACATCCTAGAAATAGACACTAAACACACTGGAAGGAAGGACTATTGGAAGGTAAAGAAAAGCACATAAAAGGAAAATTGGGTATTAAAACCAATTATTTTGCTCATATTCCACCCAAGTTTAATTAAAACGTGATCCTACTATTTGGCTTGAAGCAACAATCTTCTGTTTTATCTCCTTGATTACAGGAAAAAAAAAAAAGAAAAAAAAACCCCACAAATACAGCCAAGCTCAGCATTATATGCATTCAACTCTATTAACAAGTCTCACATGAAGGTGACAAATGGCAGGTTGTCAGCCTGTTTGCTAGACTGCAAATCTAAGAAATCATTTGCATCACTTGGTAAACACAGGATTTCAATATACTTTCCAACTTCACTATACTACCTCCAAACAAACCAAACAAACACAAAAAAACAAAAAACAAAAAAAACCAACCCCACAAACCAAACCAAAATAAACCCCAACAATGACACACACACAAAGACCCTCCAAAACCAAACAAAAAATCCAGGCAGAAGTAGCTTCTAACCAAGAGATTTAAACAGAGCAATCTAATACATAGGAAGGGAGTTATCTAAGGCATGCTCCAATCCATGCCACACCCTGGTTACTCCCAAAAGGCCAGAAGAGCCTTTCCTGGCTGCCTAGGTCTCCCTCACCCACAGGAAAAGGAAATTGAGCATACATACAAACAAGGGTGTACAGCAGGCCAGCAAATGCAGTGGCACAGGGATATGTGTAAGATTTCTTTTGTGTAGAAACAGTCACTGGTTTGCATCTGCTTATCTCAAACATTATTTAGCTTACACTAATAATGATTCTGAAAAAACACATCACATTGAAGTTTTAATGGGTGGTTTCACTTTCCTGAAGTATGAAAAGATACTACAGAAAGATGGGACTGCTTTCCGTGAGCAAACTCCTAACACACTTACAAAAAGAAATCAGTAAGTTCAAGCTCCCTCACAGAAGAATTATTCTTGAATGCTGGTGCTATGTATGTTTAAAACCAAACTTACTTAAATCTTGGGATCAGTTACATATTGCTTGGACACCATCACTCAGATCTGCATCTTGGCTAACTTGAGCCATTTCAGGATAACACTAATTCCTTTTCAGATAAATATTTAATATTTAAAATGCAATGGATAGAAACAGTATCAAATAAACCATCTCACCTGTCATCTTCATTGAAAAGTCCACAGTTCTGCAGTCTTGAAAGGGCTAAACGAAAGAATTGCTCTAGAAAGCAAATGTGAAAAAAATTAATGAAAATGTTCAATGCTTTCTGATATAAAAATAAGCCTGCCACCCTGACTACATCATTTTCAGACACAGTAGTTTTTACACACTGTGCATAAAGAACTCAAAATAAGAACACATGTCATTTAGGGCCACAGGTCAATCAATGATACCAAAGAAATTCAGGTTTGTAACAGCTCCTCTCTAGGAAGCTTTTCCTGCCCAACGCTCCCCTGTTGGAAAATAGCAGTCGACTTTGTTTTTTCTTCTACCCTACTTCAGCTGAAACAGAAGCAGCCTTGGCCCAAGAGGAGGGGCTTCAACTCATTCCCAAACATACTTTTTCCTCACTGCAACCCCAGAGGTGCAGAAAAACACATCATCCTCTTTACACAAATGGAGGGCAAATAGAGTCTAAGCCCAGATCTGCAGGGTATTATGCAAGTACACAGTTCAGTATTGAAAACTCTGGGACTTGAGACTTACAATCCTTTCCAAAAGGATGACTAAGCCCCTTAGGGTCTCTGCCCCTGTTTCATCTGCCCTGATCAACACAGATAGCAGACATGAGCAAGCACACATTCTGCACAGGTACAGCAGGCATGCAATGGGAGGAATACCCGCTGCAGCCACAGTGACACCTCCCCTGGTGGGAGATGCTAGCCCAGTAAAAGGGAAAATTTGCTGATATAACTGCCCCAACTTCTGCCTCAGTAAGACTCTTGATCCCTATCAGCTTAGGTGTGTTGATCAAAACCCATCATACTGACCCAGCTAATATTTCACCTAGTAAGGTACTAGCTAAGTATCTTTAGCACTCCAGTCCACGCACAAATGCAAGAAGATGAATAAGCTCCATTCTTCCTCACCTCCACCTTTTTGGAGCTTCTCTGCTAAGACACCAACATGGTGTTTTATTTGTTAAAAACAGGACGATGTCAGGTCAGAGGGACTAAATGAAACCATTAAGTCACTGCTAGATACCCCCAAAAGGATTGGCATTGGTGAACAGGAAAGACCAGGGCCTGAGATTCAGGTGGCTTTACATGCCATTTAGGTATTTCTGTTTAAAACAAGGTACAAGGGGAACACAAACCTGTTCTCTTTATTCCATAAGGTAGTTCAAACTTATCACTCCCGTGGAACTCCGCCACTCTGATAAAATCATTAGCACACAGGAACGGGTATATTTTGTCAACACTAATGAAAGGAAAAAGTTTCAAAAATGCAGATTATGTATTTGAGTAAGCCAGGAATTCATTCAATTTCTTTATCCTACTTTAAGTATTATAAATCTTTAAAAGAAGAAAACTCATGAACACAGGGAAACAAAGCAGGTTACCAAAGGGAAAGATTTTATATTGCAAAATACAGGTAGAGCATGAAATAAAAGGACACTCTTGCTTTCTCTGCTACTGTAAGTTATATTGTCATTAAAATCGTATGACTGAAAGCTTAGAACGTGAGAACATATTTAAGAGAATATGTAACCCAGAAAGAAAATTAATAATTTCAGGTTTGAAAAGCACATAACAGAGGCAGCAAGGAAAATTAAGTTATTATATACTGCAATTTACAGAATTGGATTTAAAACAAGGTGTTTTAACTTGAAAATACCATCTCCTCAAGACATCAGCTTATTTGAGATACATTCCCATCCCAAACAAGTGGCCCTTTATGACTCTGTTCACACTAGTCAGTACTTTGCAGCAACAGAGGTATATCCATACAGGAAAAATTATGGAGTTCTCAGCTTCATATTATACACATCTCAGTTTGGTTTTTGTGCTAGGCTAACTCCAGTAGGGTGCCGCAGATTGAACACTCCTTAGCAGCTACAGCACAACGGGTGTGCTCCTGCAGTGCATCTTCTGGTTTAGCCAGATGTCCAAAAGGAGCCCAGTGCACATGTGTCAGAGCCACCCTGTGATGAGAAGAGTGGCACATGGGGATCACAAGGAGGCTTGCCTCAAAAGCACATTCCTCCTGCAAACTAGAATGTGATGGCATCATACCCTGTAAGCATCAAGACAGAAAAAATGGGTTACTTCTTCAAAAGACAGTAACCACAGACAAGGGTTCTCTCATACCAGGGAAGGGACTCACGTTACCATACCTGCCAAGTCAAGTCAAATAAATGAACACCAGACCCAATCCTGTCACATGCTATCATGCCCTTGGCTTCACCTAGGAGTTAAATAGTCACACACTCACTGAACTGGCTTACTGGAGTGATCCTGCATACTAGGTCTTATTAAAGTGTTAACACAGAAGTACTCACTCACAGCAAGAAAGCCTACTGTTGATCATAAATACCCACAGCCAGCACATGACTTGTTTCTCCATGAAGAATACTAACAGCTGTTAAAAATACGCTCCATCTCAGCTTCACAAAGCAAGTATCTTGCTCTAAGTCTTATGTATTCAGAAGATACTAACAGTAAAAAGGAAAAAAACAAACCAAAAACCCAACAAAATACCACAGCCCACACACCAAGAACTGGGCCATAGGTTAATTAAGAAAAAACAGCTAACTTTGAGACAACATGCACTGGACACCTGTATTAAATGTAATAACTCACCTTGCTGTTCAGAAGCAGCTGGTAAGCTTAGACAGAATAAATAATGCATCTACTGCAAAGAGATTCTTAATTCTAGCTCTTCTAGATCTGGTTCCTTTCCAATAAATAATTCTGCCAGGTTAAAAATCCTTTTAACCTCCCCAGGCTATTACCAAAGTGCACAGACCAGCTCTTCAACTCACACAAACTATCTCTGTAAAGGAGCTGTGGAAATATGCAAGAGACACTGTTCTAGCTCTGCACCTTCTTTCTTGCTGCACATCTGAGACCATCCCTGTCTGCTTGCTCAGAACCAGAGCTATCCTGCTGAGCCTGACACAGAGACAGCCTGGGCACACTGTGGGAACTGAAGTGGGAACTAGGACTGCCTCACTGGACCAGGCAGCTCACCAAAGCTCACAGACCACAGGACTGCTTTGGCCAGGACGAACTTGAGATTCTTCCATGTTCTTTAACATAAGAATAGAGCTGAATCAAAGGCATGTTTTCTTGTACACCAAAAAAAGAAGTGATAGTGTCTTTGCTTAGAGCTTTAAAACTCCTTTAGCCAGGACTTGGTCTAAACATCTTCCCAAGCTTCCCCAGGGCCATACTCAATGTTGACATCTCATTTAAGACTTGTGCTTGTAATAACAAATACTCCTATTATTTCCTCACAAACCTCTTGGATGCACTTTTGTGACCAAACACCTCCTTTGTTTTGAGTTGAAGCTCTTCCTTTTTTCATCTGACCACTTCTTTACAAAGGAAGCTTTTTATGAGTGCATTAAACTGGAGAACACCTACACACAAATCAACAATACTATTAAAGGAACAAAAGCATGAATAATCTCAAATTCCATTAAAACTCCACCGAAGGGGAAGAATCTTATATAATTAAAGACTGGATGAATTTTTGCACATTTCATACTCCACTTTTCAAATAAAACGGAAGAGATTTCAAAATCTCTCTGATCCATGGCTGCTACAGAAATACTGAGCTATCAAAAAAATCTTTTAAGTCCAGGTTTTAAATAACAGAACGACCGAGTTTGTCTTGGATGTGAAGACTTTTTTCACATTAAAAGCATGGAGTGGGGGAAACATAAAGCTTGTATTTCAATCATTAAAATAACTTTGCTGTTACTAGCCAGAATATCTGAACAGGAAGTATTTATTTATTCAGTACAAACACCAGCATTTTGAGCTAGTTGTGTGGCACTGCTCAGATGATGATCAGTAGCAAGCTAAATGATTTGTCTTGCCACAACCAGGAAAAGCATCAACGAACTGAAGCCCAAAAGCTGTACTTTTAGAGGTGAATCAAAATGTGAAATAGGCCAGAATATGTAAATAGCTCATTTCTACCTCAATCAGCACAGACTTACCTTTTCCCTCTACTTCCCACAGAATACTCACCCCAGTAAAGATTCAAATGCTGGTTTCAGGACACAAGTATCCAGCGCATCCCTTCTCTCCACAGCCGTAGGTGGCAGCCTGCAGAAGAATTTCAAAGAAATAGC